GGTGATAATTAGATTATATTATTTAGATTATATGGTGGTAGTTAGATTATATCTTTTAGATTATATGGTGGTAGTTAGATTATATGGTGATATTTAAATCATATGGTGATATTCAGATTTTATGGCGATATTCAGATTATATGGTGATATTTAGATTATAGAGTGGTATTCAGATTATATGGTGGTGATATAATCTAGGGTAAGCGGAATACCACCATGTGATATAATTATATCACATGGTGGTATTCCGCTATATTCCTATTATAATTAAAGAATCATTTTATCGTAAATAAGTATATATTAGCTTAAAAGTTCCAATATTTCAACCATCAGATTTATTACACCATATGATAGAATTATATAAAATATTAAATAGTACAAATGAAAATAAATCTTATTTATTTCTTTATATTGATGAAGACCTGATCATCAAATTACTTATATTCGTATTCAACTGGTATTAATAGCATTATTTTTAAAGTTAGATTTAGATTTGTTAATTGCTATTAGAACTCCACTAGGTTATTCTTGGAAAAATCCAGTTGAATGAATAATGTCAATATTGAACTTTAGCATACAAAGTATTGGTTTAATGCATAATGAAATGAATGATGATTTAGAAAATCTGATGAAAAAGTGCAATTCTATGAAAGAAATTCGTACATACTCAAAAAAGAGCTACAATTAAAAAATGAATTGGTAAATTATTTGCAAGCGCCCATTAACTTAATGAAAGGTATATTTGAATTATTAACATTAAAGGATGAATTATTTCTAACTTATAAATTAGCAATAGAAGAAGAAATTAAAGATTTATAGAAATCTTTATTAGAAATTGAAGATTCATTAGATATGGATAACAAAATCAAAAAAGATATTAAAGATAAAGTAAATAAATCTTATATTTTATTATCTAAAATAATTATTATTTACTAAATAAATTTTACTGTTTTTATTTAGGCTAAATTACAAGAATTTTATGCTCACTGCTGTGAGTCACAACATTACTTTTTTCAAATAAAAAAATGTGGTGTAGCAGATTGTGATATTTGCAAACCAATAAGAAGTGATAAACTTGCTTTTTCTCAAGTTTATTTATTATCTGATCCAATTTCAACAGCTAATAAAACTAGTTATAAAGAATTTTCAGATGTGTATGGTATGATTATAACAGAGTAATATAGACCATCTTTAATAAATCAACAATAAAAAAAGAAAAGAACTCATATAGGATTTGGTCCTACTACTCAATTTGTAAGAAATGTTAGAATAGTGATTGAATGTTGCAAATGCAGCAAATGGCGCATATTATATAGTAAAAGTAAATTAATTATCTTCCTTTGAAATAGCCACTTTGGAAAGGTATTTAAATACTATTCAATATATATGTGGTGATTTCTTTGAAGCTTTAGCAAACTCAAGCATAATAATAGAAAATGTTGGTGATGAGAATAACAAAAAAGATGATGTAGAAAGAATTTTTGAAAATGTAAAAGTTGATAATAAATTAGCATGTAATAATCCCATGGAATTTTCCTATTATTCAAGTGGTCTATTTGAAGATATTTGCTTTGAATGTGAAAAAGTACCAGAAAATGAATGCGATGAATCTGCTAGAGTTAGTATAAATGAAGTATATTACTATTATTGTGATGAATGTTATACAACAGTTTCAAATAAGAAGAAGCGTAACAAGGATGTTAAATTTCAAGTAACAAAAAGGTCACGAAAATAATATGTAACACATTTATTAAATTTATTATATAATAAAGTATATGTTTTTATTAAGTAAAGTCACGTGATAAAAAATTTTACTATAAAAAAAAAATCCAGAATTTTTGTAAAACTGACACGGCCGGGTCACGAGAATCTAAAAATTAATTTTGCCCGGCCTAATACTGTTACTCTACCAATAATTCTTTATAGTTAAACTATAAAGAATTATTGGTAAATAATATACCGAGAGTCAAATTTATTGGTCAGAAGGAGATTAGAATTAGAGTAGGCAATCCAAGTAATATCATCCATGACGGAACATCAATAAATAAAGATGATTCGTAGTGACAAGAAGCGGATCATCTTTCATACACCAAAGGACGGGGATAATAAAAGCATAATTGATTCATGTCGGAAAATCTTTGTGGATAACAAAACCTAGCGCGAAAATGTTAGTCAATCTGCGGATAATAGTTTTCCAAGGGTAAATAAGACGAGTGGTTAGTCTAATGAGGTTACCAATTTAACTAATTAGATTTAACATCTCGTCGGAGATACCATTTGTTCGTCGGCAGCATACACGATAATTTATTATACCAAGAAGTAGCGGGAAGCCCAAGTGTCGAAGATTCGGACAAAGTATTCTAGAAATAATCTTTAACCAAAGATTTCATACATGATTATGACGTGAACGATTAATTTCTCAGTCTCCGATAACGTCAAGGCTCAAAGAATAAATGTTCCACGTGAAATAAAAGGTTATTATATATTTAACTTTCAAATATTGAAGACTTTAGTCTTGTCAGTTTTATTTCCGAGTAATTCCCGGTACATTTTAAGGTTTTAAACTATTAATACTATTAACTGACTCAAAATTGATTATTTAACACAGATTTTTATTAGAAGAAAAAAGAGTTTATACAATTATTTATTTGAAGAAAGGGTTTATATTAGGAAGAAGTAAAAAAGATACAATTAATAATATTCATTTAAATAAATAAAAGAAAATGAAAGAACAAGAATTAATAATATTCAACAAAATAAAATAAAATAACAAGAGTTTATACAATTATTTATTTGAAGAATAATATTAATTTAAATAAAAAGGATTTCCAATAGGAAATCCTTAAAGAGCATTCTCTTAAGAGGTTGCTTTATGTGAAGAAATTAACTCTTCCGAGCCAAATCTTCATTATATATTAAGTTGTATATTAATTACAACGTACTTTTATTTTTTTTTTTTTAGGGTGTTTAATTGTGAATATTAAATTTGTAGAGTTGAGCAATATATTTTGCATATTTGATTGAATAATAATATTATTTTTCATTTTTTATTTTAAAAAAAAATTTTTTTTATTTTTTTTTTTTTTTCTTCCAAGCAAATGTCAGGAATTTTATATACGAGTTTTTCATTGTAGAAATGCACATATATGCACACAATTAAAATTGTAATCAGCTTTTGATTATCTATCGCGCCCATCTGTTTCATATTCAAATTTTGACTTTTATCAAAAATTTTTGCCCCAATGTTTGTAAAATTAGCCGAATAAATAAGATTTATATTTTGAAAATAAGTTCGTGAGAATTTATCGAGATAAAGTTTCTTTCCATCATTCGGTTATAGAGTTCTACAGTAGAAGAATTTTTACTTATATGCTAAATATGATTTTTTTTTTTTAGCAAGTCCCTTTTTTTTTTACTGCATAAATATTAAACTGAAATTTCTTTGTTGCTTTTTTGATTTACGCTACATGGTAACACAAACTAAACTATGACGATTTTGAAAGAGGCGCAATCGCAATTTTTGTCAGGAAACCAGATTAAATTACAGTGCCTCTGCTCTGTACTTACTAAAAAATTTCCTAAACTGTAAATCTATACTAAGAATGTAGAATATGATTTTTTAAACACTTAAACTAATAAAAACAATGGTTAATGACCTCATAATTTTAATAGTGATACTTAACTAGAACAACCAAACCATAAAAAGGTTGAGTTAAATGAAACCTGTTAAAAGTTGGATTTGAAAAATATTCGAATCTTGTTTTTAAAATTAAAATATGCAATTTATAGTTGAAAAGACCTATAAGGTTAATAATACTGTATATCCATTAATAATTATAATAATTATTCTGAATATCTTGCAAATATTTGTAGAACAACTAAAAAGAAAGATAAAGTTGATGTTGTAAGTATATTTTTAATAATTAATTGATTTTTAATAATTAAAAGATGATTTAAAAGAAAGGGTGAATTTCCAAAAAAAAACTATTACTAAGGATCATATCAACTTAAAATCTTATATATAACTCTTAACTAAATCTATATAAAAAATTAATTTCTTAATAGGATTCAAAATTTCAAATTCTAAATCTTAAAAAGCTTATTATAATTATTCAACCAAAAAGTTAGAAAAAAATAATAATTTATATCATTAACATGATCTTTAAATAGAAAAACTGCTTAAATTTTAGAAATAACATATTTATATCTTAATTTTAAATTTAAACTTCATGAAATTATTCTTTTAGTTTAAATATATTTTTTATCCTTATTATTGAAAATATATTAGATAAATAAAAACTTTAAAATAAAGTTTATATAATAATAAATAATAAATCAAATATGTAAAAAGCTATTAAAAATTGAACTATAATAAAATTATTTATAAAAATCTTATACTATATATTTTGTAGCTTATAACAGAAAAAAGTCTTATAGATATTATAATTATTATAATCCTTATTTTATAAATTATAAAATTTTTAAATTTAAAAGTTTTAATATAACTTGTTTTATTTTAACATATTTTTTGTTAAATATTTTTTTAAAATTATATTATTTTTTTTTAAAGTAATATTCAAAATTAGTTAAAATTATTTCTTTTAGTACTAAGATTTTTTAACAAATATTTAGCTAATCTAATTATTTAGCAAAAATTTGCCTAAATTATAATTATTTGTTATATTATATATAATTAAGTATTATTTTGATATTAAGACTTTTTGGTAAATATTTAACTAATTCAATATAGTTATTATAAAAAATTTATTTATAAATAAAAGTTTTAAAAATATAGAATTTATGATTTATCAGATTTATGACTAGATATTTAAATAATAAAAGTTTTATATTTTACTGATACAAAATAATAAAGAATATTTATACTAGAATAATATTAAAATTAACTTTTGATATAATAAATTTTAGGGTCGGGATCTCAACTTTATTTTAAGATTATAACAAATTTTTTAAAGAATTTAATTGGTTTATTTCTTCTATTATAATATGTGCAATTTTGTAAATTGTTTTTCACTAATCAACTAATCAGATTTTTAATGAATTTTAACTTGTTAGAATCATTGTATTAAGGAAAATCAGAATCAAGTATCAGTTTTTTAGTAGTCAGCATACTGAAAATATTTTCTACACTCAAATTTCATTAAGTAAGAAATTTAATGAGAATTGTTAAATTATGTAAAATTAGTCTTAATTAAAGATAATGTAGCAATTAATTTTAAATTTATAACTTGTTGCAACATAAGTTAAAATTAGTTGTAATATAAATAGATTACAACTAATTGCAATGTATATTATAACATTAAAAGTTGTAACATATTAATTACAGTTCTCATTTTTAGTTTTAATAATCATATTTTAAATTTTTACTAATAATTTTTAGGTTTTGAGATTTAAAATAAATATAAAATCATGTTTTTATATTTATGATTGATGAGTTATAAAGTTATAGGCTTTTTTAGACAAGCAACTTTACTTGTATTTCTTTTGTTACTTACTATATATTATATATAAAAGTAAAGAAGATTAAATTAATAGAAATAACTTTATATAAGTAATAATACAAAGTTATAAATATTTTTTTTAATATTTAAAAGATTCTAAGATTAATAATAAAATAGATTTAAGTATATTTTAATTTTTATTTCAAATTTATATTAATTGTTTGGTTTTATATTATCTTTTTAAAGATTAATATTTATAGAGTTAATAGTAGTTATCTTATATATTTTTTTCTTTCTTTATAAATGTATGAATTGTATTATAATATTTAATTATTTTAAGTTATAATTCTAAATTAAACAAGTATAAAAATAACTTTCTAAATTATTTTTAGGTAATTTTGAGTTTCAAAATATTGAAGATAAAACTGATTGTTTATTAATAAAATTTATCAAATTTTTAAATATAAGAAAAAGTCATTTTATAAGATTTTGAAAATTTTTCTAAATTTTTAAGCTACATGTTAAAATAGGATTAAATGATATCATTATGTATTATTATTATCATTATAATATATTTAATTATAATTATAAAAATTATTTATTTTTAGAATACAATAAGGGATTTTATTAAAATGAAGCTTAATCAAATTGTCTTTAAAAACATTGTTAGTAATGTGAATTGTTATTAACAAATCATAAATTAAATAAAAAAACAAATAAAAAAAATGATACATATGAAGATATAAGGATAAAAGAATTAATTCAAAATAAACTTAACTTAAAACTAATGTAACTAATAATATCTAATATACTAGAGATGTCCTTTTCGACCTTTCTTTTTTCAGAGATCCTAACTAATATTTTCTACAAATAATACATATATATATATAATAATATTTATTACCTTATATGTAAAAAAAATATTTCCATCGAAATTGTTTAAGGATGAAATTACTAATTATTTTATAAATTCTATATTGTTTGAACCAATTTCCAATAATATTAACGGTATGGATTTGTTATCGAAGGAAAGATTATATGTGTAATAACAATGACATATTAATCAGATTACATACTTTTAAACAGTTCAAAAAAATTAATCTTACATCCATTTCACCTTGGCAACCAAAATCGAGAGTACTCCCCCTTTAGGAAAATTATTATCTTTTTTACGTGACACTGGTTAAAAGATGGTACCCGAAGTCATTGTTATTAGATTGAGCACTCAATATAAATAAGTCTAATATATTATATATTTTTTTATTTTAAAAAATTATTCGTAATCAGATCTTATTAAGTAACTAAAAAAGAAACGACCCCTTAAAGTTGTGCTTCGAGAGAAATTGTTGTGTAATTACAAATAGAAGGGCTCGTTACCACTTATTATATTCTAGGCTCCGTGCCCGATCAAGTGACATATAAGATGTCAAAAGTGGTCAATGGTAACCTAAGTGATCGACATAAGATGGCACAGATTACAGATAAGCATATGATGTTGGTTGAGATTTTTACCGGACTTGTCATTGTATTTAATAATACTTAAATTCACTTTTTTTTGTAATTTTTTTTATAAGGAATTGATGAACATAGCGTAGGAAAAAAAAACGGAATCTCTATTTTTTTCTCCAGTAAAAAAAGGTGTAATTTTTTTTTCGATATGTTTTGAAACTTAATAATTGGATAAAACTTTTTTTTTCCCATAGCAAGTATTACAAAGATAAGCCTTCTTCAGTAAATAATGCCCCGGATTTGGTTAGTCCGCTTACGTATCCCGGTTACTTACTAATAAGGAGGACAGGGCTTAATTAAAAACCTATTTTGGAATATCCGATTTCGAACTGTTGATCAAAATTGGTACTTCACAACTCGAAGGTACATTTGAATTACCTCAAATGGGCTTTTCCCATTCACACAATAGTTCTAAGATTGGTTCTGCCCTTTACACATTGTACAAAACTCAAATTCAACAACAAAAAAAGTTCTAGATCGTTTAGTTAATGAAAAAATTCTCATCCGATCAATTAGAAAAAAATTGCTATTTAAATGACCAAGGATTTCATTGATGTGATCCCTTACCTGTTCTTCATTCCAACATTTACAATAATTATATATTATCCTTTACTTTTAAAATTTTACATTTATTTTACATCAAAAAAAACGTTTTTATAACTCGTCAATAATTACGGATAAGACCTACATCGTCAACACCTATCAATGAACGAGAAAATTATGTCGCGCAGTATAAAATTGATCGGATTTGAAATAGATTATGAAAAGGCGTTTAATCTATATAAATCGGTCGCCGAAAAAAGTCAATACATCCTAGCGCGAGAAGAAAGTAACGAAAAAATTAATGGATGATATTGAATTTTAACACGGTTATCAAACAACGCGTATCCGGGTATTTCTTGCCTTAATTATTTTGCGCGGGAAATGTTGGAAAAAAATATGACCGCCTTTAAATGGTATAAGCGCTCGGCGGAAAATGAAAATAAATTCGCGCTGGTCACTTGTCAACAAATATGGAGGTGAAATCATTCGAATGGAATGTCAAAAATGTTGTTAATAATTTATTCGGGGGAATACAATCTATTACTATTTGTAATATTACAGTATTAGTTATTTTAATAGTTATCTTATTTTAGTTATATTAGTCATGTTTGTTATATTATCTTTTATTTTAGTTCGCGTTTGTTATATTATCTTTTATCATTATCATCATTATCATCATTTTCATATTTTTCTTCTGACCGTGTTCATTATTTTACTACCCTCTAAATAATTATTTTTATAAATTCTCTCATAATAAAATCATTTAAATCGATATAATGTTCTGTAGAGCAAAATTGAAAGGTTAAAGCAAGTTTTAACGCCCAGAGTTCCAAAGAAAAACTCAATAAACTAATAGCACAAAAAAAAAAAGTCTGATCCAAAAACTGTATATCATGTTAATTGCATCTATACAAGTTGCATGTACACAAGTAACATCATTATGAACGAACTTAATCCCCACATTCTGCAAAGACAATTCCAAGAGGCACGTTAATACCCAAGACTTAGTTCTAAAATTAATCTTTCACTTAAATAGAATGTCCACCAATATCAAAGATCAAACAGATATGGTTGAGCAAAATTCAGGCTTATCTACTTTCCTCGTCAAGAGCATTTTACTAAAAGAGAACAAATTGTTAAACAAATTTATAAATTATTGTTATAATAAATTAAATATTGCAACTTACCAATTTTCAACATTAAAGCTTGATAATTTTAGTTTAATAAATCTATGTTTTTGTACTTGTCAACCGTAATTCCCGCTTCTTCCAAAATATGACAGTTCATTCAAACAAAATAATTGTCCTCAAATTATCTCGAACTATAGGGATCTCACCAAGTTTAGTTCTAATCCTAAATTACATTTGATCATCAAATTTTTTTTTTTAAAAAAAAACCATAAAATACGTGAGTATTTATTTATAATTAAAATATTATTATGCCATTATCGCCGCTTCCTAAATCACCAGTATTATATTATCTTTGCCAATGGCATTTACCCCAAAAGCGCCAAATTTTCTAAACTTGATCTATCTCCAATAGGGCTTGATCCCTATATGTATATATATTTGTTCCGCATCTTGCCCCGTGAAAGTTTACCTCATTAATTCTAGTCTCGACCAATCCACCAGCTATAACTAATTTTACCTATATCATAAAGTAAAGAATTCTCTCGTCTGTAATTAAATAAACATTCTGCATACTTTTCAGAAACTATAAAATGGTAAGATTGTGGAAGTGACGAAGAAATATCAATACGTAAGGGTCCATATCTAAAGTAAACACACAAAACCATAAAATCCACATATTCGATAAATATATTCTTTATTACTATCCTAATCGTGAATAAAATTTCTTATAAACTTACAACCTGTACTTGTAAGCACTTGACTCGCTTTCGCGTAAGATATTGAATTAATATTTAAAGGTAACAGTAGCCGGACATGTTGCATGCAGATCAATTTTATGATTTTCTGTGTTCACAGACAGGAAATCATAGAATAGGGTTATAAAAATGATGATAATTTTCAAAATTTTGGCCTGATTTAGGATTTGCAATTATCGTAATGCTGGTTGACATTAAGCTTGGCCAGAATTTGCGAATCGTAATGTTGGCTAACCTTGTATAATTCTGGCCAAATCACAGAATTTCACAGAATTAACTTTTATCACACACAGAATTCATCCTTAATCACCGCAAAAAATCATCGTCCCTGTTCTAGAGGTAAATGAAATTGTGGTCTCTCAAGAATTTTTTTAACAGTATGTATCATGCCGAATTTCTTACCAAACAATCAGGATAGTATAGCTTATAAGGAGCTGGAAGACGCTTTGCTAAGGCAGAAAAATGGCATATATTTAGGGGATGGAAGCATGGATGTAAGGTATGTGAGGAATTCGATCATCACTCACATCTATATTGCAAAAGGTGTAAGAAGGTTGCGGAAGGAATTTATAAGCAATGTGAATGTTCTCAAGTAATTTGATCAATAAAGCAATGGTGCAAATTTACCAGACATTTCGCATGGAGTGAGTTATGGGATTGTGTGGAGCAAAGTATGCTATTATTTTTTCGGTCAAGCTTCATTATAGCTTGATAAATCAATGCGCAGTAATATTATGATAATCGTTACATGTATCACGGAAACAAGTAATTGCGCAAAATCATTTATTATCAAACGCATATTCTCAAAATTATTACGTATATTGTTATTAAAAAAGGGCCCCTTGATGATCTTTACATACGGATAGTGTGAGGAGAGATTTTCGTGATACGATCATATTAACGTAATTTCCCCCAAAGGTGTATAACAAAATCGATCCTAGGAATTATATAAAAAGGCGATGTCCCGGTTAGTGAACCCTTTTATCCGTCTTGTGCAAGTAAAACGAAAAAATCAAGCGAAATAATCAAACTTACTATTATTTACATCATCAATATCATTAATCAAACGAATAAGCAAAGCAATAAAAGTAAAGTCTGATTTTCGTTCGGCTAGCTTCTTGAAACATGTCATAACGATGTTAATCGATTTTCTCGCCTCTATATATGTTCCGGACATATTGCTCTTCTTGTTACATATCGGCATTTTGATCTTCGCCGAGAAAATCTTTGACCATCATCACGCACAATAGACGCAGTTACTATTTGGGAGAGATATAGATAGACAAAAATTCTGTATATATGGGCGGGATAATTTATTTCGGAAATCTAATAAGTAAAAGGCTGGTGTAAGAATCACGTAATTAGCAATAGAAGCATAAACAAATTAATTATAATATTTTTCGAAAACTTGAGAGCAAAGAAATAACTTGATGCTGGAGCTCGCATTAAATGGCCTAGGATCCGCGTACTCCCTCCCTCTTTGATAGCATCATACATTTCGCTTGCTACCTCCATCTTTTTATTCTGCATATCAATAAAATTTTACGTCTTTGCATCAAATTTTTTTTCTGAAAATGATCATATTAATTGATATTAATTGTGCTCACTTCTCAAACGTGAAACGTGCACGTAAATAAATGATAAAGTGTTTATTACCAACATCAGGCGTTTATTTTTTAATTTTCGTGGAAAGCGAATGCACTGTCGTATGGGGGTATGTGTGTGAGTAAACTTGTTTTTTTATTAGCTACAGCAGACGAATGACGATACACCTCCCGGAGTGGCGGAATCGCAAGTCCATAAGCCTTGGAGCGGGTTTGCACCGGGTCTGTTGGCATAGGGAAAGTGTGAAAGACATCGCAA